TGCTATCTAGAGTCAAACCTGTCAGAATGAGATGGCGAACACCTAAACACCCATTTCCTCGAAGACAAACACCTAGATACCCATTTTCTTGAAGGCGAACACCTTGACACCCACTTCCTCGAAGGCGAATACCTAGGCACTCATTTCCTCGACGGCGATCACCTAGACACCCATTTCTTCGACCTAGACACCCACTTCCTCGACGACAAACATCTAGACGCTTAATTTCTCGACGGCGAACACCTATATGCTTAATTCCTGTATATCTATACAAACTCTTCCTCGACGCGGTAAATTCCTAGATCTTCAACGACAATCTCGATACGATATTTCATTTTAATTATAATTAATATTTTATTTTAATTCATTTTATTAATTATATTTCATTTTAATTTCAATTAATTATAATAATAATGCGCCGCGTGCACGTCACATGGTATATGTGACAATGTTGCCATCGCTGATTATCACAGCCGTCATGTGTGGTTGATCACATTCGAATGTGCAATGCTGCCATCGCTAGGTTAAGTCATAAGCCCTCTAGTGTCGAAAAAACGAGATGGACATTTTCTCCTGGTCGACGACGATGTGGACGAAGATAATGATGACGTTTCTTAATATAAAAGTTTCACATTCGTATTTTGCGTCGCAATATCTCCGCTCGTAAAGCACGTAGAGAAAAAATAAAAACACTTTCATTATATATCCCGACCGGTTGCAGTCGATTGAGCACACTTAGAACTTGATCGGTTCAGCCGTTATTGAGATCCGATAATCTCGTACTGTCGCAACTCGCCGGCACGCGTAAAGTAGCCACGGTAGTGGCGCTGCGCGTAGCTTAGCGCCGGGACACTGCCAGTGTCTCCAGATCATAACCGCCAACGTGCCCATGAAAACATTATCTAAACAGCAACAGGAGGCGTACTGCAGCGCGACGCGTTGTCACATCTGCGGGAAACTGTTCGCGCCGGACGACACACGAGTCCGCGATCATTATCACTTAACCGATAGATATCGCTGTCCAGCGCATTCCAATTGTAACCTAAATTATAAAAATTCGATGCATATTCCGGTTGTATTTCACAATTTATCGGGGTACGACGCGCACTTTATAATTAAAGAAATTACTCCCGCGTACGATGGAAATGTAGATCTCCTTCCGATAATGAAGGAAAAATACATTTCGTTTACGAAACATGTTGAAAGCACCAATGACAAAAATGAAAAGAATTTTCGAAAAAATTGCGTACAATTAAGGTTTATTGATTCCTGCAAATTTCTGAGTGCAAGCTTCGATAAATTGGCGTCGTATCTCGACAAAAATAAATAAAAAATTGTACGTTCTGAATTTTCAACTTTGTTAGACGAAGAGTTTGAATTACTGACTCGTAAAGGTGTCTTTCCGTAGGAGTACGTTGACTGCGTAATTGCAAGACAAACGCTTACCATCGCGCGAATTATTTTTCAGTTCAGTGACGGGCGATACAGTATCCGAGAGCGATTGCGCTCACGCCGTGAACGTATGGCAGCGATTCTCCATTCGAACGCTCGGCGAGTACAGTGATCTGTACTTGAAAACCGATGTCTTGTTAATAGCTGACATTTTCGAAAATTTCCGCAATAGTTGTGTCGCGAGTTACAGTCTCGATCCCGCGCATTATCATACACTACCAGGTTTCACGTGGGACGCCATGCTGAAACATACGCGCGTAAAATTTGAGTTGCTCACCGACATCGACATGGTCATGTTCATCGAGCGTGGCATACGCGGTGGCCTCAGTCAATGTTCCGGCAGATACGGTCAATGTTACGCGCAGGCTAATAACAAGTACATGCGTTCGTATGACTCATCGAAACCGTAGTCGTACCTTATGTACTACGACGTGAATAATTTGTACGGATGGGCGATGTGTAAAACTTTTCCGTACGCCGAATTTCGATGGGTCGAAGACGCTGCGAACTTTGACGTGAGCGCGATCGCTCCGGATTTGTCCATAGGTTATATTCTCGAGGTCGATCTCGAGTATTCACAGCGCCTGCACGAACCGACACACTGACCTATCGTTCTGTCCGATGCGCGATAAGCCGCCCGGCAAGCGCGAGAATAATCTCCTAGCGACGCTGTATGATAAGCAGCGTTACGTTATCCACTACCGCAACCTGCAGCAATGTACTCGTCACGGTCTTCGCTTAACAAAGCGATCCACCGGATGTTACAATTCGCTCAATTCGCCTGGCTCCGCGATTACATTGAACTTAATACGCAGTTTAGAACGCGCGCGAAAAACGATTTCGAAAAAAAATTTGTATAAATTAATGAACAACGCGGTATTCGGCAAAACTACGGAGAATGTTCGAAATCACGTCGACGTAAAATTATTAACAAAATGGGATATGGGCAATAAGGCGCGGAGGCAATGATCGCGAAACCGAATTTCCACAGCCGCAGCGTCTTTGCGGAAAATTTGATCGCCGTCGAAATGCGCAAACTCGAGGTGAAGTTCGACAAGCCGATTTACGTGGGTATGTGTATACTCGACATATCGAAAGTCTGCTTGTACGAATTTCACTACGGGTACATGTCATCGATGTTTCAAGACAAATGTAAGATCTTGTACACGGACACAGACAGTCTTATATACCGCGTCGAGTGCGAGGACGTTTACGAGACTATGAAACGTGATGTTGCTAGATTCGACATGAGCGATTATCCGGCGGACAACGCGTACAGTATGCCTCTAGCGAACAAAAAAGTACCAGGCCTGATGAAGGACGAGAACAACGGTGCATTAATGACCGAGTTCATTGGACTCAGAGCGAAGATGTACGCGGTGAGGGTGGACGGCAAGAAGGACACTAAAAAGGTGAAAGGTGTAAAGAGTAACGTCGTAGCGCGATCGATAACGTTCGACAATTACACGAGGTGTTTGAATGAAGAGATCGAAATGACTCGCCGTCAATCGCGTATACGATCTAAATTACACGAGGTATACACTATACCCGAATCAAAAATCGCTCTGAGTCCATACGACGACAAACGATACGTTGTACCTGACTCGACAGAGACATTACCATGGGGACATTGGCGGATACCTTTGTAATATATGCTTTTATGTATTTTCATACAGTATACATATATATATTACTATTATTATTTTTTTTACTATTATGCTTCATGTATTACTATTTCTTATGTATTACCTTAATTTGCACTTTGTGTATGTTTTTCAACAATTTTTTATATTTTCATATAGTCTAAAATATCATTACAATGAAAAGGTCAGACCATGTTAAAAAATGTAAGCAGATCTTCAAAAATGTAAACCTTTAAAAATTGAAATGATTATCTAACAATAATTATTACCGTAAATTAACTGATATATTGGGTATGGGAATAAGTTTCCGCCCTTTTTGAAAAGAAAAAGATGTGTAACCAACTGAAAGAAACTCATATTTTTACATCGATTTCTGAATTATATCGAATGATAAGGGAATACGTAAAAGTGCGATTTACCTTTTTGTACCAACATTTTCGAGCTCCGAAACGTTCAAACTTTCTACGTAAGCTTCAATTTCCCATGGCGGTACTATGTATTCCATCTGCTCTGCCATCCTTTCAGAAAGAATTCTTAACGTGTTTTTGCGTTAGATTCTAAATAACGATCATCATGTACTGACAGCATTCTTGTGTCCATGACAACAAAAGTATGTTTGATCGATAAATCATGTATATAAATATTGGGTATGGGAATAAGTTTCCGCCCTTTTTGAAAAGAAAAAAGATGTGTTAATTTAAACAAATCTATAAAGTGAGTTTATTCAAAGTATGCTCCTTCGGAAGCGATAACTTTCTCCCACTTTTCTGGTAATAAACGGATTCCTCGAATGAAAAAAATCTAGTTCTTTTGAAGCGATCCATTTATCAAGCCATTTTTTGATATCTTCATAAGAATTGAATCGTTCTCCAGAAAGGGCCGACTGCATGGATTGGAACAAATGGAAATCTGAAGGAGCAATGTCCGGTGAATACGGCGGGTGGGGCAGAATTTCCCACTTTACTCCTTCCAAGTATTTCTTGACCGGTTTTGCAACGTGTAGCCTAGCGTTGTCATGTAACAGAATCAGCTTGTTGTGCCTATTGTCCCATTCCGGTCGTTTTTCTTTCAAAGTTTGGTTTAAACGTATCAGTTGTAGTCGATAACGATCGCCAGTGATGATTTCGGACGGTTTGAGCAGTTCATAATATATGTATAACACCTCTCTGATCCCACCAGATGCACAACATAATCTTCGAAATTCAAAATAATAACTCTCGAAAATATCAAAAACAAGAAAATAATCAAGGACTAATGAGAGTAAAATTCGCTGTAGACGTTTGCGATGAGTTAAGAATTTATTCCATATTAATCTGTTCAGACGTTTCGGCCTTCCTTCGAGCCATCTTCAATGTATCCGAACTATACAATCATATCAATTTTCATAGCTAGACTAGAGAGTGACCACTCGTTCCATCTTCTTCAAATCGTGACACAAGATTGATAAAGCTAGTGGCAACGATCACAGATGTATTCTGTGTGTGAAGACAAATATAATCGTTACCAAGATGTGTCAATAAAATAATATTTTTATATAAATTGTCAATGAATCACTCACCCGCATAGCCATGTACAAATAATCCAAAT